GCTGGGCCCCCCTGACCTACGGCAGATCACTCTGGCACCCGGTCCATTTGGTGGGGCTGGCTACAGTGTCATCACGGCACCCCCTGTGGAGGAGGGGACATCAGCTCCTGGCACACCTTACAGGTGAGACCTGCCGCCTGCAAGGCCCCCTTCAGCCGTTTGTAGGCGTGCTGGGAGTCAGATGAGGACCTTGCCCACCAGAGCCTAGTTGGCAGGAGGCAAAATCCTAATACATGTGAAGTGATGAGGCCGTAGGGAAGTCGTAGCCTTCTTAGGAGGTCAGGAGCTACTCTTTTTTGGCCACTTAGATGTTCCAGGCACTTGATGTTCATGAACTCACCTAAACCATTCCTGTGAGATCCACATTTCCCTCATTTTACAAATGAGGCAGTAGGCCTGGGAGATTTAGTAACTTGCCTGAGGTCAGACGTGCAATAGGCGAGAATTTGAACCCTGGTCCCTTTGGTTTCCAAAGCCCATGTGCTATTTGTTCTGGATGATCCCTGAGGGGTTTCCAGCTCTGACCTTCGGATGAGCTCAGGCTCCTTGCCGGCATTGGAGGCCCGGCAGCTCCACTTCGCTTCCTCTGCACTGACCGAGTTTGGGGCAGAAATGTTTACATTGTGTATGTTTACTGAGCCCCTGCGCCATCTGAGGAAGCCCTGAATCCAGGTGTTGAGCTGGGATGGGAGTCAGGATCCCTGGGCCAGCACCCAGACAGCCCAGTCTCTCAGCATCTGCCCTCTCCTCTTGGGCTGCGGGTGCTTGTCAGCCCTGTCTCCCCCACTGGTCCTCTCCTCCTGCCCCACTTGGCCAGACCTGAGCTGGACCCCTGGTGCCCTTCACCTCACCGCCCCCCTCCCCCATCCCCATCAAGGGGGCAGGGATTAACACATGTGAGCAAGATGATACGCTGGACACATGGTCCCCACTTACAGAAGAGAGAGTGGAAGTTCAGCTGATAAAGGGCGGGTCCACTTGTGGCAGTCACCTCTCAGTTGATGACTTTCTTGGGGAAGGGGACTGTTGTGGCCCTCCATACCCTCCCAGAGCCCTACCTCACCCTTCTCCTCCTCTCTGCCCACAGCGAGGAGCCCCCAGGGGAGGCAGCCCAAGCAGTGGTTGTGAGCGACTCCCTGAAAGAAGGTGGCACCCACTACATCATGGCAGCTGATGGGACCCAGCTGCACCACATTGAAGTGAGACTTAGGGTAGTGAGCCCCTACCCCTTTTCCCTGCTTTCCTTCTCTTCCTCCTCAGTACCTCATGCTCCTCGATCCCATCTCTCCACAGCTGACTGCAGATGGCTCCATCTCCTTCCCAAGTCCAGAAACCCTGGCCTCCGGAGCCAAGTGGCCCCTGCTGCAGTGTGGGGGGCTGCCCAGAGACGGCCCTGAGCTTCCATCTCCAGCAAGGACCCACCGGCTGGGGGACCCCCGGGGCTCTGCCTCCCCACCTCCTACAGCTAGCAAAGCCCTGGGCCTGGTAGTGTCCCCCTCGCCACCTTCTGCAGCCACTGCATTGTCCAAGAAGTTTTCCTGCAAGATCTGCGCCGAGGCCTTCCCCGGCCGAGCTGAGATGGAGAGCCACAAACGGGCCCACGCCGGGCCTACTGCCTTCAAGTGCCCCGACTGCCCCTTCAGCGCTCGCCAGTGGCCTGAAGTCCGGGTAGGTGTTGCCCCTGTGCTTCTGCTGACACTCATTTGTGCAACGAACCTTGACTGAGTACTCCTCGAGCCAGGCCCTCTCCCCACTCTAGGGTCAGAGATGACTCAGCAAGGCCCCAGCTCTCAGGGAGCTCAGTCTGGTGGGGAGGCAAACCAGACGATGTGACTAACACCCAACAGTGTCCCCAGAGTGGGCAGAGCACAGACAGGGAACAGGTCACGTGGACATAGAGTACTGGGGGAGACGTCACAGAGGAGGTGATGGCTGAGCTGGGCCTGCAGGAGCAGACACAGGTGTGGCAGCGTGAGGCCTGCTCGGGGAAATCCTGGTGGTCTAGAACATGAGGGCACAGTTCAAGGGAGGCAGGGAGATAGTGTAGAGAAGGCGAGGGAGGTTGGTTCTGGGGCAGGTTCACATAGTTTTGGGGGGCTCCCTCCGTTCACCCGAGGATTACCAGTTTTCAGATCCGACCACGCGCTGAATCCTCACAGCAGCTCAGTGAGGGGAGCAGGGCCCAGAACCTTAGAAAGTCAGGGCTGGAAGAGACCTTCAGAGGTCCCCTCATCTGAACCTGTAAGTTGCATGGGGTAAACTGAGTCTGAGCAAGGACAGGATTTTCCAAGTGACTTAATGACAGAGCCTGTGGCTATCTGTCCCTCTCAGCACCAGATCTTGGTCTGGTCTGTACTTTTTACCAGCTCCTCCCAGATGTACTTCACCTGAGAACAGGTTCCCTGACAGCTGTGTCTGTGGGGAGCCGTCTGTCCTGACCCAGCGGTGCCCCCGGCTCTGCTCCTCCTGCAGGCCCACATGGCCCAGCACTCGAGCCTGCGGCCCCACCAGTGCAGCCAGTGTAGCTTCGCCTCCAAGAACAAGAAAGATCTGCGGCGGCACATGCTGACCCACACCAATGAGAAGCCTTTCGCATGCCACCTCTGCGGGCAGCGGTGAGGCAGGGTACCGGGGGGCAGGGGCTGCTGGGCATGCATGGTGGGGCCCCCCCTGAGCCTTCTTCCCTCCCCCTCAGTTTCAACCGGAATGGGCACCTCAAGTTCCATATCCAGCGGCTGCACAGTCCTGAAGGCACAAAGGCAGGGAGCCCTACTGCCCGGGCCCCAGCCCGGACTCCCACCCAAACCATTATCCTGAACAGTGATGACGAGACACTGGCCACACTGCACAGTGAGCTGCCCCTGGGGCCCCAGGGTGGACCAGGGACTTGAGCCACTGCCTCAGAGAGCACCCCTTGGCCAGGGTTGGGGCCAGGGCATTTCAGGTTTCCCTGCAGCCCAAGTGAGCATCCTCCCCTCTCTGCCCAGCCGCACTCCAGTCCAATCACGGGGTCCTGGGCCCTGAGCGGCTACAGCAAGCACTGGGCCAGGAACACATCATCGTGGCCCAGGAGCAAACAGTGACCAATCAGGTGAGAGCCTGGGTTGGGGGCCTTGCTGGCAGGTCACAGGCAGGGGTGGGGGCACACAGAGCACTGAGGCTAAAACTAGCTTGGCCCTGGCAGGAGGAAGCCACCTACATCCAAGAGATCACCACAGCAGACGGCCAGACAGTACAGCATCTAGTGACCTCTGACAACCAGGTGAGCTGCTGCCAACCACCTCGGCCACAAGTGCCCCCTTCCCCTCAAGGCCCACTTCGGGGAGGAAAAGTACTTTACAAACCACCCCTCCCAAGGGCCGTGCTTGCAACTGCCATTGTTGATGGGGGTGTCCCTGGCCCCCTGCTCTGCCTTTCTCGCTGAGCTCCTGGTGAGCGGGGCCCCAGCACCTGCCTCCTCACTACCCTTCTTCAGGTACAGTACATAATCTCCCAGGACGGCGTCCAGCACCTGCTCCCCCAGGAATATGTCGTGGTCCCAGAGGGCCATCACATCCAGGTAGGCCAGGCCTGGGGCAAGGGTGGCGAGTGAGGGGAGGGACATACGGCCTCCTTCTGGGATCATCAGCTTGCTGGCTTCCTCTCTCCAGGTACAAGAGGGCCAGATCACACACATCCAGTATGAACAAGGAGCCCCGTTCCTTCAGGAGTCTCAGGTGGGGTCCTTGGGGGACCAGGTAAAGAGGGGGCATGGGCAGGACTCCTCTAAGGCCACATCTCATTGGCTTCTTCCTTCCAGATCCAGTATGTGCCTGTGTCCCCAGGCCAGCAGCTGGTCACACAGGCCCAGCTTGAGGCTGCAGCACACTCGGCTGTCACAGGTATGGGGCTGGACCCTGAGGACCAGGGGGGGCCTGGGGCCCAGGCCTAGCTCCTGGGGCCTCAGGCTCACCATCCTTCCCGCCCCGGCAGCGGTGGCTGATGCTGCCATGGCCCAAGCCCAGGGCCTGTTTGGCACAGAGGAGGCAGTGCCTGAACACATCCAGCAGCTGCAACACCAGGGCATCGAGTACGACGTCATCACTCTGGCTGATGACTGAGCCCCAAGAGCGCAACGCAGACCGTGGATATTGGGGCCAGCCCTGCTGGGGGTGGGAGGGACCCCTCGGGACTCACCTCCCTGCTCCACCTAGGGTTTCCAGATACTGGGCAGCCAGCATCCTGTCACTCCAGGGGAGCCGGACCTGTGCTGCTGGGGTTAGGGGACAGCTATGGGCCCCAGCCAGGACCTGCTGGGTGCCCCAGCCTGCAGGCAGGCTTTGGGAGAGAAATTTATTTTTGTTTGGATGGACCCACTGGCCCCTCAGTCTCAATAAAGGGACCAGAGTCCAGCCCTGGCCAGCTCACTTTGTCCACTTGCTGCTACAGAATCATGCAAAGCCTTAGGAAGCAGACGGAAGGAGGAGCCTGTTACACCCACAAGGGGGAATAAGGTGGCAGCTGCCTAGCCCCACAGGGCCTCTTGCCCTGCCTCTGTAAGTACAGTGGCCCACCAGCAGGGCAGACGCCTGATACCAGATGGCTGAGCCAGTGAGAGCCCCACAGAGTACTGTCAGACCCTGCTTCCTCCCCTGGCCTAGAGATCCTCAGAGGGCAGCGCAGCCAGGTGCTTATCTACACGGGGCCATACCCTGAGGCTTGTGGCGGCTCCGAGCTGCTTTCTCCTGACTAAAACACACCTGGCTGCCCGCCCACTGTGATGGCTCCAGGGCCAGCAGGCATCTAGCTTTCTACCAGGGTACAGCCACCAGCCCTCTGCTCCCCAGAGGTATCAGCACAGGCCTGGCTGTGGGAATCTGGGGCTTGCAGATAGATGACACGGGGCTCTGCACTCTTCAGACCTGCTGGGCCCAGGCACAGACCCCCTAGGGACCCAGCTGTGGAAACAGTAGGGTGAGATGTGAGACACCAGAGCCCTGGGTTGCGGTGTGAAGGCCCAGGGTTCACGAGACGGTGAGCCTGGATGTAGAGGGGTGTGGCCCCAGAAACAGCTCCAGGTTCCTCAGCCTTCTCTGTTCTTAAGACCCTCACACATTCTTGGGGTGGTTTCTGTATTTCCTTTTACAAATGCAACAAGGTGGCAACAGGATGGAGGGAAAGGAGGGAGGGCATGGGGCCTATTTACAGGGGACTTGGAGAGAGTCTGAGGTGGGAAGTTCAGGGCTGGGGGCAGGGAGGGGGAGCCCTGGCAGAGCCATTATCTTCCTATGTCTTTGGCAGCCTGAGTCCTACTGCCACCCCAGGGGGAGGATCCTGGGGTCTGCTCAGCCCCAAAAGGCCTGAGTCCCAGCAGTCCATACCAGCACCCTGGGGCTCCTCCTCCCCGCAGGGTGTGTTAAGTAGGGTGAGGCTCGCGGCTGGGGCCCTGCTCACGGCCTGAGTCCCGGTCTTTGGCCTCTGAGGAGGACGATGAGGAGGAGCCAGAGCCATGGCTGCGGCCTGACTGCCGGTAGGCGGTGCTCAGCTCCTGTAGCCGCTCAGGCGTTGGCCCCCATTTGGCAAAGCCAGGGTCGTTCTGTAGGAAGAGCACCGCCGTGTTGTGGACGGCCTTGTAGTGCATTTCCTCCCTGCGGGCAAAGGCAGCGGCTCAGGGTGGGGCTCGGCCTGGCCTCATCAGCCCAGCAATCCTACCCCAGCCCTCCCCGGGCACCCACTTCTTGCAGATGTGCTGGGAGCCACTGCGGTACTCATGCTCGAAGGCAGGCAGGACCAGCTGGTGGCGTTTGAAGCGGCTCTGCTCCATGCGGGTGAGCGCCGGTGTTGGGGGTTCCCGCCACTCAGGGATGAACACGATGAAGGACAGGGGCTCTGGTGAGCTCTCGAGCAGTTTCTGTGAGAGGGGGCACAGGGTGGACGTCAGGGGCTGCCCTCCGGGTGGCTGGCAATCTTGCTTGCCACCCCCGCACCCCCAGCAGCACACCTACCTCGAAGTGAGAGACCATGGCATCCATGAGCTCCTCGCAGAACGGAGGGTTGGCCTCAAAGGAACCACTCAGTGGGGAGAAGTCCAGGCAGGGCCTGGGGACAGAGGTGAGCATTCGAAGTCCCACCAGGACCCAGTCCTTCAACCAAAAACAGGTGCCACCCCCACCACTAGGCAGCCACGTTGAAGAGGTGGCCCCGGTCACGCCAGAAGCCACCCTTTACCCTTAATTTGTGCTAGGACAAGGTTGAATGGATGAGCACAGAAAGGCTCAGGCTTGCTGGCTCAAGTCCACCGAGCTGGTTAGTGGAGGAACTGGAGCTCAAATCGAGTTCTGACCCGCTGCCACCTCAGCACAAGCCACCCCTAGGAAGTCTCCAGCTGCGGAGCCTTCCCTCCTGCTGGCCTGGCCACATCTTCCTACTGGAGACAGCATCATCTTTCATCCGTGCTCCTCTCCCCCACCACTCCCATTTAGTCTGTGAAGTCTCAGATCTGTATTACCACCTTTCATTCCTCTCAGGGCCTGGAACCTACTCCAGGTTCCTACTCCATTAGGTGGAGTAGGTGTTCCTACTCCAAACCTGGGCTAATTCACTGAGAAACACACAGGCTCCCAGAGGTTCAGCGACACGTCCAAGCTGCTGAGGGGTGAAGGCAGAGACTACACCCAAGACTGCCCGACTCCAAAGCCCTAAAGCATTAGGAAGCAGCTGGCCAAGGTGGGACCTGTGCTCTGGGGAACAGCTTCCCGGGCCTGGGCTGGAGGGGGCCCAGCAGCCCCTGGCTCTCACCCGCGGGAGCCAAAGTAGCCATCTGTGTCGGGGAAGGCAGAGCAGTACTGGCGGAAGTAGCAGTTGAGGGGTGAGGCGAAGCACTCAAAACTGACACCAAAGAGACGGTGGAGGGCCTCGAAGACGTGCACGGGCAGCGATCCCTGCAGGCCTGTCCCCTCGTAGAGGCCCACGCCAAACATCATCTGCAGAGTGGCCACAGCGTCAGGGGCTCGGCCTCACCACTCCCTCCAGAGGAGCCCCCACCACTGTTCCGGGCCTGTACCTGGTACCGTCGGAGAAGACACCAGACCCGGGGCAGGAACCTCTCAAAGGCAGAGTCATCGATGCAGCTGTAGCGGTAAAGGAGCCACTGTGGGACAGAAAGCAGTGGGCTTCAGCAGTGCTCCCTCACTCCCTCATCACTGGCCGCCTCTGGGTCAAGAAAGATGTGGCCCTCACTCCTCCCACTGTGGGGACCTGCCTCCCCCTGCCCCCAGCTCTTACCAGCTTGCTGAAGTAGTTCCGGCTGACCTTGACCATCTCTCCCTTATACCGGATGCAGACCACGTTATTCTCCATATGCATCTCCACGCTGGGCATGGGGGGTGCAGACACGGCCAGCCGTACTGGGTAGCAGTACACCAGGCGGGGCTCCACCTCGGGGGCCTCCCCCTCCTCTGTGGGCACAGAGAGCAGTGAGGGGCCACCCTGCCTGGCTCTGCCAGTTCTCACCCCGGACAGCCTCCATGCCTACTACATGCCGGGTGCTTCACACACGCATCCCAGTAACCAAGGAGGTAAGTCTCATCCCATGGAGCAGTAAACTGCAGCTCAGACAGTTCAGTAACAAAGCAAACAGCCTGGCAATTGGCGGGGGCAAGAACTGGTGGCCTGTGTTGACATGCTCTGTACTCACACAGGCCCCAGTGTGCCATGCCTCAGGGCCTGGTAGGTACGCAGACTCCAATCTGTGGGTCTTGCTGCCGTGCAGAAGTATGAGAGCTGCACCGCCTTCATCATCATAGTTACAGTATCTTATTTAGAGATCCTTTTTAGGCCAAGCACTTTGAGTTACCACTGAATCCTCATCTGATCCTATGGCCAGGTATCGTACCTCAGTCTGGGGAAACTGAGGCTTGCAGAGACTGGATGTAAACGCAGGTCTACCTAACTACTCACCCCCTGGCCTGTCTTTCTCTCCCACCTTCTGGCTTTCCCCCTCATCACTTCTCCCTGTTTCCTAGAGGAGTGCTGAGAACCCCTAGCCAAAGGACAGAGCAGGTCCTGCCCCAGACACTGCTGGGAGAAATGGGCTTCCCCAAACCAGCCTGTGGCCTTGAGGCTTAGCCACACTTGTCCTTTCAATCAGGGCTGGGGAGACAGAGGTGAAGGCATCACAGCTGGCCCCCTGCCACCTGGCCCCCTACCTGGGATGTTGTTCTCCTTGAGGATGGCAAGGTGCTTCTCTCGGATCCGTTTGACGTACTCCAGGGAGATGTGGTAGATCTTACTGCAGATGCCTTCCACAGAGTCTTTGGCCGCGGCTGAGACGTGGGGGCCACACTGCCTCCGCAGATGCTCCAGGCGATCCTGGAGGAGACACTCCTGATCAGGGCTCTCAAGGGCTGGATTCCAGCAGTCCTCATTTTGAAACTGGCTCTGCTACTTACTAACTGTGTCACTTGGACAAATCCCTTGGTGTCCTGAATCTTATTCCTCAACTGTTAAGGGAACACAAAATACTTACCTAACAAGGCAGTTTGATTACTAACTGTGATCAGTCCCGTTAAGGGCTTACCAAGCCCCTGATGTAGAATAAGTGTCCCATAAATGCCAGCACTTACTGTCAGAGTTACACTGTGCCAGATCCCATGATACTTGCTGGGGAAACAGACAAACCGGGCACAGTCCTCGCTTATAAAGCATTTGTAGTCTATTAGGGAGAGAGACCATTACAAAGTCGGGTCCTTGGTCATTGCAGATTTGAAATCTGAGCTTTTAGCGACTTGAAAGGATAACTGTAGGCATTTGTAATTTTGTTGAATCACAGTGTGAAAGTGATGAGTGAAAATGAGTCACTCTGGCTAGTGAGTACACCTACCTTTGTCACTCTCTACGTGTCAAGTACACAGTTACTAGCGTGAAGTGCGAAACCTTGTCTCTTGTGAAAAATGGTCCTGAAAAGAAAGCCCATTGCTAGTGCTGGTGGAGAGTTAAAGGAAGTGATGGGTTTGGGCCAGAGAACAGAACTGTTTTGGACACATTAAAGTAGGGAACTGGATCTGGTGGTAGCTCTTAACTGTGATATAAGCACACACACCCAAGAAAAGGCAGTTTGTCAATCTGTTTCCAAAAATCTACTCAAGGGAGATGTTGAACATCCATTAAGTTGAAAGGGCAGCTACTTAATGGTGTGTGGCCAAGCACAAGATTCCATTAAGAACCTTATTGGAAATGTTCCTTGGGAGAAAGCCAGGAGCCTAGACAAACATCTCCAGTTTGGGGACCGATGAGTGTCAGAGGTCTGCTGTACTGCACAAGAACAGGCTGCTGTGGGGCCCTGCCCAGCCTGGGCAGGCAGAGTGGGCCTCATGGAGGAAGTGGCCACAGAGCTTTTCCACTGGCCTCCTTGGCTAGGGCTACTCACCATGTAGTCCTCCTTGGAGGCTGAGTGGTCCTTCCGCAGCCAGCTGAAGGTGTCCTCCACATTCCACTTAACCACCTTCCTGCTGTCGGGGGATGCACTCCTGCCAGTTGAGGCACAGAAAGGGTAGGCCGTTTAAGTGTCTGCTCCACCCTCCTCCCATCCTACTTCCACTGGCATCTGGGCATCAACCCCTGGGTATACATCGCAGCCCTTGTTCCACCTTTGGGAGCCGGCCCCACTTCTGTCACCAAAAGCAATGACAGAGCCCTGAAGAGTGGGCCAGATGGCCTATGACCTCCCACACTCTGATCACAGACTCATCTCGCTAGGTGCAGGAGAGAGGCAAACCTGGATTCGATGAGCCGCCTGGCAGCCTCTGCATATTTAAAAAGCAGGCGCTTGGCTTCCTCCCGGAACTTGATTCGGGACAACCTGGGTTACAGAGTGGGCAGAGTTAGAACCTTCTACACAGGACTGGGCACACAAAGCAAATGGCCCTGGGTCAGCCCAGCTGCGGGTTGCACCTGATGGGAATGTCATTCATGATTTCACGAAACATGGAAGGCGACACGACTGGTTCGCAGTTGCTCGGCAACAGAGGGTCAGAGCCTTTGTCCACGACCTTGCGCTCCAGCATCCAGCGGTTGAAGGATTCCCGAGGTGGCTCAATACCTGCAGGACAGGAGAGCTGATGAAGGTCTGGATTTAGTTAGTGGACTCCCCACAGGCCTGGCACCAGGAGGCATCACGTGGGCATTAGAGGTACACAGTCAACAAGACATAGCCCATTCTGAGAAGCGCTAGTTTTATAAAAGGTGTGTTAATAAGTGTTACAAAGGGTAAAAAAGGGAGACGGAGGGATTCTATATTTCAGCAAAGTTAAGCAGGTTTATTTACTAACTAAATTAATAAAAGCTGTAGTTTACTGAGCACTTTCCATCCCACTTACTCCTTGTAGTAATCCTGTGAGATACAGGTAATTTCGTTTTTATGTCCTTTCATGATACATAAAAAAGCTCCAACAGTGCTTGGGAATAGGAAACACTCTGGAAGTGTTAATGATTATTTTCGTGATTCTTTTGTTACTGATCCCAGCCATCTTTTACGTAGGCACTGTTATCGTTCCTATCTTAAAGATGAGGAAACTTAAGTGCAGAGAGGTTAAGCCATGAGCCCAAGATCACAGAGCCAGCACTTAGTGGAGATGGGACTCCAAGAGGCCTGTCCCGTCCACAGTGCACGCTCTCAACCACTGGGCTCCACTGTGCCATTCCTCAAGTCCACCTGGCCAACCCTGGCTCTTGCTAAAGGTGGATGGAAATAAAGGAGGCCGAGGCCAGGAGGCTGTTACCCTCTCGCTGCTGGCACAGCTCCCGGTAGTGCTGCCGAAGCTTCAGGATGAGCTGGGAGCGGAGCAGTTCCACCTCGGGATGTGGGGGCAGCACCTCTGAAGGTCCCCGGTGCTTGATGACAGCATTGGTCTGGATGTCCAGGTCCCAGTAGACCCTTGGGGCACAGATGGAGCAATGAGAAAAGTAAAGAAAAGGGAAGGAGGGGTGCCCTGCCTGCCACCACATCCCACAGTCCGATCAACCATGGGCCCCCAAGCCAGTCACCAGGGACTCACTCAGTGGGTCGGAGGAGAGCTGCCTGCTGTTTATCTTCAGGGGATGTCCCCCAAATCTTCAGCGTTGGGGTTCCTGGGATGCTGGGGGAGCTGGGCACCGATGGCCCCATGGGTGTCACAGGGATTTCAATCTAGAGCAACAGAGTCAAAGGCATCAGGTCAGGACAGCTGGCGTATGGTTCCAACACCATGTGCACCTGGTGATCTGTGCCCCGGGCCCCCTCCTGACCAACCTGCCGATGCCCAGCCCTTGCAGGGAACCTGCTGGCTGCCTGCCTGGGCTGGCCGCTTACCAGCCAGTTCCTGAGAACCCACAGACACTCACCTTGGGCTTCTTCACACCATTGCCGCTTGGCTGCTCTTCCAAGAGCTGCCGCTTTCGGGGCTTGTTCTCAGCTGGGGGGGTTTCCACCAAACTTGAGTCTTGGGGCAGTGGGGTTGCATTCAGCCCCAAAGGGTCCGACTGGTGGAGGGAGACCAGCAGAGTTGCAACCAGGGCCAGCGGCTCAGGAGTCCCAGTACTGCAGAATCCTGATGCCCTCCCACCCCCTGCTCCTACTCCTTGGAGAAGAGCAGAGGGAGCTGGGATGCAGAAAGAACACTGGGCTCCACTCCTGCCTGCTACTTGCAACTGTGGGACTTTGGGAGGAGTTACTTCCCTTCCTAACCCTCACCTTCAAAACGGCTAAGCCCTACCTCACCATTGAGAAGATTATTAAATCAGTCAATGAATATGACCAACTTAACATGACATCTGGCATGAGATCAGCACTCAGTGCACGTTAATGTCTTTTCCTTAAGTACCAGAAAGTAAGTCAGGAATAAAGGAAAAACTCGAGAATGCTTGTTTTTTAAAGAGCAAGGCCCTGTGAAGGGAACTCCTTTGGTGACACAGAGTATGAGTGTGATGGTAAGCAGTGTGGCCCTAATATCACATCAGTGCAAGTCCTGCTCTGCCTCTTACTGGCCTGAGGTCTTGGGCCAGTCATTTCCCCTCTCTGAGCCTCAGCATCTTCGTCTGCAAGATGGGGACTGCACCCAGAAAAGAAAGTCTGCCCCAACTGACAGGATCCAAAAGCCCAGTTCCCAACAGCCACCTGTGCCTGTGCTTCCCCTATCACAGTGACATTCCAGTCCCTAGAATGCGCTTCTCCTCCCCTCTTACCACTTTCACTTGGCTAACCTTCTCACCTTAAACGCTAACTCACAGAGAAACTGTTCCTGTCCCCACCCTTTCCCCAGCCTGGTCAGGATCCCTGCTGCACTCTAACCCCACTGTGTGTGCAGGTGCCACACTGTGATCCCACTGGCCCCCTCCAGTAGACCGTGTGCCCACGAGAGGGCAAGGGCAGGACCAGGTCTATCTTGCTCACAACTGCATCTCAAGCACAGTGCCCAAAACGTAGTACAAGTTCAATACCACACGCTATTATAATCGTCTGTTTACATGTCAGTCTCCCCTATTTGAGCGTAGGTTCCATGAGGGCAGGGATTTTGTCTGTCTTGCTTGTCACAGTACCCCCAGGTCCTGACGCAAGGCTAGGCACCTGACAGCTGCTCAGGGTACATTTGGGGAAGGCCCAGATGCCAGAAGCTGCTCCGAGACCCCCACCCTAGTCCAGCACTCACAATCACATCATGCTGGCCCAGCACAGGCATCTCCCAGAGGGACTGGTTGGTGAATCGGTTGAAGTAGTAGGGGCGGTTCTCCCTCCTGCTCCAGCACTTCTCCCAGCCCGCATGCACCAGCTCCTCTGCAAACAAGCGTAGAACCCAGCCAGGGTCAGGGCTGCTCCTGGGGCACCCTTCCTGCCCCACCACGCCACCACTGCCCCGCGCCAGTACCTGGGAGGTCCTGCACCAGGCGGATGGGCTTTGGAGAACAGGGCTGGCTCTGACTGGAGGTGCCCGGGGAGTGACTCAGCAGAGAGGCTTCCTCCCGGGGGCTGCCGTGATTCTCATTGGCCATCTCAGCACCCACAAAGGACCTGCCACACAGAGGACCAAAGGGTGTCAGGGCGAACAAGGCAGGAGGTCAGCTCCAGCCCCCACCCCCCACCACCAATTACAATCCACAGAGGCCACAGTGACCACTTGCAGACGTGGAGAAATCCATCCAGTCCTGTCCTGGAGGGTCGGCATGCCACCAAAGAAGGGACCCTGGGATCTCAGTTGCAGGCCCAACAGTAAAATGGGTGCACTCCTGTTGCTCCTTCTGCCTAAAATACTCCTCCAATTCTCTGCCTGACAGGCCACTAGGTTCCCATCCTCCAGGAAGCCGCCTTCGACTCTCCCCAAGCTAGGTGGTCAGAGCCCCTCCTCAAGCCATGAACACCTCATTGTAGCACTCAGTCTGGCCTACCACCTCAGTTTGTCTCCCTGTTAGACTGTCAGAACTCCCAGGACTAGGAAGAGTGTCCAGTTCGGCACTCTCCAGTGCTCAGTATGGTACCTGGACCCAACAGGTGCTCTATTCATTCCGAAAATGTTTACAAAGCACCGAGAGTGACAAACAAGACAGAACAAGGTCTGCCCTTGAGATGCCATTCCCACAATAAGGAATAGTAACTCCTCCTCCTTCCTGTTCCTACCCAGGAAAATCTAACAGGAACAAACCATTGCCCAGGAAGGGACATGGCATCTAATTGGATGCTTCATTCTATACTACAGAGCAGGAAGCAATCTGCTGCTAAAAGAACCAATGGGACTGAAAAGGAATGTCTAGTGCTGCCTTCGGCAGCACACATACTAAAATAGGAATAGCTAATTCAGTCTTTCCTAATCCCCAGGTGAAAATTTACTTTAAATACCAGGAAGGAGAGTTCCTTCAGCTCTGTATTCCCTATACCCCAACCCAAAGCACACCCAGCACACGCCTCAGTGGCCAAAGTGGTTCCCAACCTGGCTATCAGACTCCTAGGGTGCCAAACAAGATCGGATTGGTGACCCTGAAGTTGTTTCCAATATGTCACAACACGCAAAAGAAACGAAACATTTACCCACAAAAAGACCACAAAGGCACCATAACATCAGTTATCTTTGCTTGCTGATATTTTATCAACTCATTGTGGTCACAGTGATTATCCCATGCTGATCAGAAGCTCTGACTGGCTGTTGATGACATCATAGGAATCATCGGGACACTGATTTTATTGTACACTCATAGACATCTTTGTTAATTTAGAAAAGGAAAAGTGAATGGTTACTTCATCGGTACAGTTTGGCAGCTAAAAATGCGGGAAGCAAGAGGACACACACAACAAAAGGGGACCAGGATAACAGAACCGTTTGGAACCACTGACCAAGGAGAGAAAAAACTGTAGCTGCCTTGGTTCTCTGGGGAGAAGGGATTCTTGGTGCCTTGGGGGCTGAGCTCATAGGTCTCAAGGCTGAACGAGGTCCCTCTTTTTCTCACCCTCTGGGGTCTGCAACGCTAGCATGAGAGGGTTTTCTCATCCAGCCTGATGGACCCCAATTCACAGGGTCCCACAGAGGCAGGGGGAAGCCTGCAGAAAGGCTCAGCACAGGTGGGTGGGCTGGTCAGCAGTGGAGTGGATGGGCCCAGGGGATTCCTTGCATCAGCAACTGCAGAGCAAACAGAAAAGAGAGTCATAGACCTATGAAATGCTGCAGAGCAGGACAACAGCAATAAGGGCAAGGAGACAGAGCAAGATGGGAGCCCTCAGGACAAGGCAGTACACACTGTGGGAGATCTGTGGACTCAGGGGATGAAAATGGTACTTCTCAAGCTTTCCAACCAACGAGTTCACCTTCAAGGACTTGCAGCCTGCACAGCCACACAGGGCCCAGTGTTGAGGAGGGCCCTGAGCATGGTTTAATGCTCTGCTGTCAACGTCTTGTAATTTTTAATATTTCTAACAAGGTGCCCACATTTTCAACTTGCACACTGGACCCTGCAAATCGTGTAGCTGGTGCTGCCAACCAAAGTATCCCTAAGATAACAGAAAAGTGAACAAATATATATATCACAGATTGAGGGGGGCCACAATCCCAAGCCACCAACAGTGAGTGAAAAACATACTTCTTCTAAATCAGGTCTTTAAAAAAAAAAAAATACATGCAAATGCATTATGTAACAGTGTTTTCATCTTTATTGGAAAATACTTTCCCCAAGAAATATTGTGCGATACTGACGCACCAGGCAGATACTGCACAGGAATCACAAGCAGCAGGGCTTAGTGAGGCCAAACAGGGAGGCTGCTGCGCTTCCCAAACCAGCTGTGCATCAGAACCATGGGGGGGGGGGGGGGGCGTTTGCAAAAAAAAATTCAGGTGCTGCCCCAATGGTGTAGTGGTTAAGTTCACTTGCTCCACTTCAGTGGCCAGGGGGGTTCACAGGTTCAGATCCCAGGCGTGCTACACACTGCTTATGAAGCCATGCTGTGGCAGCATCCCATATAAAGTAGAGGAAGATGGGCATGGATATTACCCCAGGGTGAATCTTCCTAACCAAAACAAAAGCTAAAAAAAAATAAATAAACTTTCAGACTCTTGTCCCTCGCTCCACATGTTGAGTCAGAAATGGGGAGGGGAGATACACAAGAAATGGTACTTTTTAAACACACCCCAAGAATGGGATTGGGAGACAGGATGACTAATTTTTTTCACTTTACACCGTTTCAAACCTTTACCAATTTTTTACGATTAAAACAATTTTTTTAATTCCCCAGGTATGCAGGAGGTCAGCTACGCAAGTACCAGCTCTGGGTCTGGATGGACCTGGGTTCCAGAAATTTCTGCTGCTTTCAGACTTACAAACGGAATCACTCAACCTCTACGGTCTCTCCGGTAGAGTCTAGCAGAGTGTACTCTCAGTAAGAGATAACTGCTATTATTAAGATGACATTATTTATCCTGCCGCTTCCCGGCCCCCACGCATACCGCAGTCTGACAGCGCCGAACAGCTTAAGGATAAACTGTATCTGCGCAACCAGAAGAACCCACCAGAAGGAGGCGAGTCCGATTCCGGGATTGGAGGAGAACGGGGCGGGATCATCTCAGTAATACACCAATCAGAATTCTCCAACCCAGTAGGGAGGAGTCAAAGAACTTGCGAAGTGCGCAGGCGCGGGGGCGCGCGAAGGCAGAGCGACCGCCGGAGCGCGCGCACCTTCCCCTCCCCCCAAGCCCAGCGGGGGCGGGCTGTTAGGCGCGCGCGCGCCGGCCCATCTCCCGGGCTCCGCCCCCCGCCCCGCCGCGCGCTCCCGCCCCCGGGCTGAGGCGACTCAGAGTCGGAGCCCGACACAAAGGCGGTGGCGGCGGCAGCAGCGGAGCGGCCCTAGAGGCCGCTCCGCCCGCGCTCTCCGGGCCTAGCTCCCTCACCCAGGCCACCAGCCCGGCCGCCCACCCGCGGGCCTAAGATGGCGGCGGCGGCAGAGACGGGGCAAGCGGCGGCCCCGAGCGGAAAGCGCCAGAGGAGCCACCGCCGCCTGGCTTCGGATCCCCGGACCCTGGCGCGGCTCGCGGCGGGACGGTGGCTTCCTGGGGCTCTTACCTGCCCGAAGCGGACTTGAGGGGACGCGGCTACACGTTCTGCTCGACCGCCCGTTTTGCCGCCTCCGCCTCGCCCTCCCCAGCGCCGCTGCCGCCATCTTGTGTCCCGGGCCGGGACTCCGCGCTGCGCATGCGCTGGTACCGCCTCTGAGGGACCTTGCCGCTGCCGTGCCGCCATCTTGAGTGTGGCAGGAGTGGCCGGCTCCTCAGACCCTGCTTGCTTTCGGCCCCTTCCCCTTCCCCTTCCCCCCGTCCTTCCCTGTTGTTCCATGCGGGTGTAAGAAGGGGGAGGCAGTTTTGCGGGCCCTGGGGTGTGGACTGAGGAAGGAACGAACTCACAAGCACGCTCCCTGCCTCAGTTTCCCCCACGAGCACCCCCGCTGGGGCCGGAGGACCTCGGTGGGCGGTGCGCCGGCAGGGTCGCACTGAGAGTGCGCACCAGGGGGCGCGGGGCGGGCTTGGAACCTGCGGGAGCTCGGCTCCGTCGCCGACCTGGGGCGGAGTCTTGGTGACGTAGGCTCTGGACGTAGCGGGGTCCTGGGTCCTACCCCTGGCGCCGCTGTGCCACTTTCGGCCAGTCGCTTGCCCTCTCTGGGCTTCTCTGTCTAGAATGTTTCCCAGGCATTTCCCAGGCCAGTCGCTTGCCCTCTCTGGGCCTCTCTGTCTAGAATGTTTCCCAGGCATTTCCCGTATCCAGGCTGCATGCAAATCGAGCGGTCTCCCGTAATGAGGCTGCACAAGCTGTAAGTGCTTTTGAGAAGAAGAAATTTAAAACGGTAGTGGGAGACATACAGTAAAGATGGCTTTTGGCAAAGTTGGGAAACGAAATGCATCAGAGGGGCTTTCCAACACTGACATATCTATGGCTACTAGTTGCAGTGCACAGCATCACTGAGACCTCAAGCCCCGTGCCCGGCTCCCTGCAGGATTCTTGGGAGGGGACGACTCACTAGCTCCACCTCCCTGTGGCCTCCCGAGTAAACAGACCTCCCAGTGGCGTCTGGAGAGGAAGGCAAGCTTGCCACCTGCTGTTGGACCTGCCCGTCCCGCGTGGAGGCAGAGGCTCTGGTGTCCGTGGTGCCTGGCGCCGTGCAGCTTGGTGGGGGTGGAGGAATGTCCCCAAACCGGAGGCAGGAGTAGGAACGGTAAATTAAGAACTAGGGTTCTCTTCAGGCCGACCCGGTTCAAACCCCTGCTCCTCCAGCCGCTTTAAGCTTTAGTTTTCCCTAGTGGAAGATAAGTCCGCCTATCTCATAAAGGTTTGGTGAGAATTAACTGGGATGATGCTTAAGTACTCGGCGCTTTAAGTGCCTGGTGCTTAATAAATGTGGGCTATTCCCACCTCACAGGGTGTGAGGATTGCTCCAGGTAGGGCTGAGCCTTGCAGAAATGAACCAGCTCCACGCAGGCGCAGCAGGTGCCGCCCATCCTGCCCGCAGAGCACACAGTCCGCTTGGGAGGCTTGGCAAGAAGTCGGATGCTTGGTCCCCACCTCAGACCTGCGGAGGAGGGCTAGCTTCCCGCTTTGCCTAGGGCGGTCTCGATTTATGTCTGTTGTCCTGGCATAAGTATTAATGTTGCCTCCTTTCTCAAAAATGCCCTGGTTTGGACAATAAATTATGTAGTCACTCTGGACTTACAGAGTGCCCAGTTTTACAAGCTCCCCAGCCAGTTCTTAACACTGGAGTGTAAAAACTATGTAGTGATTGTTATCTGTTCTTGCTTTTGTGTTTTCAAAGTATTTGCTCATTCGTTGTTCAGTTCTTCTCATTGACCAAAGCACCAAGCATCCCAATTGCCCTTCTTGTTTTACCGTGTAGTGCTCTGCAAGAATCTGAGAGTAGGAATTTTCTGAAGTCTACACGGAGGCTGGGGGCAGGGGGCAGGGGTGAGTAATTGTCCAGGTTCACACAGCCATGAAGTAACAGAATTGGGATTTTAAGCCCAGGGTTCCAAACGCCAAAACCCAAGCCAGGTTCCAGAAAACCACTCTGCTTCCCTCACCTGTGGAGAAGGGAATCTGGACTCTGGGGGAGTGACTTGTCTGAGCTCACATGGTGGTCCTGGACATTTCCACTTCAATATCTTGCAGATTTCTCTAACTCAGAGGGCTGAACACTGCGCTTCACTTTTTTTTTTTTTTTTTTTATGAGGAAGGTCAGCTCTGAGCTAATATCCATGCCAATCCTCTTTTTGCTGAGGAAGACTGGCCCTGGGCTAACATCCGTGCCCATCTTCCTCTACTTTATGTGGGACGCTGCCACAGCATGGGCTGACAAGCGGTGTGTCAGTGCGCGCCTGGGATCCGAACCCCGGCCGCCAGCAGCGGAGCACACGCACTTAACCCCTGCGCCCCAGGGCTGGCCCCTGCTCTTCACCTTTTTCATCTGCCTCCCCAAAACTGTTCCTCCCAATATATTCCTCATCTCCTCCTTCTCACTTTCCACATGTAGTCAAAACCAACCTCTTTTCTCCAACCTCATGTCCACTACCTTAGAGCAAGTCCTGTTATTTTTTAAACCTTTTTATTGTTAAGAATAGCACACATACAGAAAAGTGCACAAAACAGAAATGTAAAACGATTTGTCGCAGTGAACACCTGGGCAAACATCACTCAGGCCAAGGTATTGTCAAGGACAGAGTAATCACTGTTCCCACTAATTTGTGATAATCACTTTATTGCTTTTATTGTTTTACCACCTAAGCATGCATCCTTGAACACTGTAGTTTCGTTTTGCCTATTCCTTGAACTTTTTTTGTGTGTGTGTGAGGAAGATTAGCCCTGAGCTGACATCTGGTGCCAATCCTCTTTTTGCTAAGGAAGACTGGCCCTGGGCTAATGTCTGTGCCCATCTTCCTCTACTTTATATTTGGGACGCCACCACAGCCTGGCTTGATATGCGGTCCATAGGTCTGCGCCTGGGATCCAAACCCACAAACCCTGGGCCGCTGGAGCGGAGCATGCAAATTTAACCACCAGGCCAGCCCCTGTTCCTTGAACTTTATATAAATGGAATTGTGCAGTCCTGTTTCGGGTTGGCCTTCTTTTGCTCCACGTTGCACTCGGAAGACTCATCCATGTGGTTGCATATAGCTGCGGTTAGTTCATTTTCATTGCTGTATTCTCTCTTCCGGTGTATATGGATCTATTCTACTGTTGGGAGATATTTGCAGCCCCTCACCCCCTACCTCTTTTCTAAATTATTACAGTGGTCTCCAAACTGGTCTTCTGGTCCTCCAGGCTTGCTTGTCTCCTAGTCCATAATCCACCCTGCAGTCACAAGGATCTCTTTAAGTCTGGTCATATCGCAAATCTGATCAAGTCACCCTGAGCGTAAAACCCATGAATGTCTCCCCATTGGCTACAGGATAAAGTCCCAAACCCTTAACTTGGCTTGTAAGACCATAATTATAATGAGAGCTACCATAGCAGAGCGTTTACTATGGGCTGTGCGTTCATGTTATCCATTTGCGTGCATTTATGTACATTCATGTTATTCATGATCTGGACCTTCAAACCATCTCCCCGTCTGGGCCCAGCCATCTTGAACTACATGTAATTTCCCTAACTGTGCTGGGTTCCCTCTTGAAGCTGGGCCATTTCTCTCACTCTTCCTCCCCTCTTTGCCTAACTCAGCCTTCAAGTCTTAGCTTAGATGTCACCTCCACCAGGCAGCATTCCCTGAACTCACCTCCACCCAGGCTAGGTCAGGTGCCCTCTTCTGTATTCCCACAGCGGCCTGTGCTCAGTGTTTGTCAGTTTCCTTCATCCACCAGGCTACGGACTGCTTAAGGGCAGGGCTGGGGCTTGTTCACCCCTGTCGTCCCTATGCCCAGTGCTGTGCCTGACCCTCTGTAAGTATTTGTTGACTGTCGACAGTTGAAGTCTGGGTGACTTTTTCAGGTATCCCATTTCTATTCTGGGCTCTGGTTTCTGTGGTGGGAACACCAAGGCAGCGCCCTTTGAGATGCCAAGAAAAGCATGAGCCGCATGCTGTGGCAGAGTCCCTGCCAGCAGCCTGGAGTCCTCTGCTCCCAGGACTGGGGGGAGCAGGTCGAGCCAAGATCCTGGGACTTTCAGGCATGCCATCAACTTTTCTGAAGGAAGAAACCTTGACAGACAGCAGCGATGGGTTGGCAGACATGACTGGCATCAGTAGGGCCTCCAGCATACCTGGTCCTGGCTGGGAGCCTGCTGTCAGGGCCTCTAAGGACCCCAGCCTCAACTCAGGACAAAGCCCTGCCTCCGTGTTAAAGCAGAAATGTAAACCTACAGACTCAGGTTGCCACAGACCTTAACCCCTTTGTTTTTTTTGTGCTACAGCAAGAAGCTGCTGAGAAGGGACCACACATTTCAACCCCTGAGGTCCTGGCGGTTGGGGAAGGGAGGCTCCAACACAATCCTGGTCCAAGTTGCCCCCAAGCCAGGCCGGGCCTGAGCTGCCCTTAGACCCTCTTCTGCAGTTTAAATAACACTAAGCCAATTTGCAAGGCGAATGGGCCTGGCCCCAGAAGAGCTATGGAAGGGAGGCTTCCACCCCAAACTGTGGTTTCCACAGGGAGTGGCTCTCTGCCATTCTGGGGCCAGATGAGAGAAGCCGTTTAGGCCAGGAATAGATGAGGGGAATGGGGCGTCTCCTCTGGTCTTCCCGGCCCTGTGAGTGTCTGATGTGGTGTCATCCTCCCGTCCATTTCTTCACTCAGCTGGGCCCAATTATGTGTTGAGGGCTGTCCTAGAACCTTGAAAACCAGTGATAAGACAGGCTCTTTGTCCTCAGGGAGCCCACAGAGGAGTGGGGGAGGCAGACATGTAAAAAAAACCCTCTGCTACAGGGAGACAGGGGCTCTATTGGGATGACCAGGGGGTGGGCGTGCAAAGGAGAAGTCTTCAGAAGAGATGACAATGAGCTGAATCCTGTTGGGAGAATAGGATTTTCTAGGTGGGCAAGGAAAGAGGAAGGATACAGCCTGTGCCAATGCCTGGTGGTGTGGAAAGGTATAATTTGTTGTTAGTGCCGTCGAGTTGATTCCAACTCCTAGTGACCCTGTGTACAGCAGAGTGGAACACTGCCCGGTCTGTTTGCACCATCCTCTCATCTTCTGGAGCTATATCAGACAATGCTCCGCTGCTATTCACAGGGTTTTCGTGGCCAATTTTTTCAGAAGTGGGTGGCCAGGTCCTTCTTCCTAGTCTGTCTTAGTCTAGAAGCTGGGTGACTCTGCTGGTATTTGAAATACCGGTGGCATAGCTTTTAGCATCACAGCAACACGCAGCTGCCACAGTATGACCACGGAAGACAGGTGGTGTGGTTCCCTGACCGGGAAACGAACCTAGGGTCGCAAGTGAGCGCACCAAATCTTAACCACTAGACCACCAGGGCCAGCCAAAAGGTATGGTATGTTTGAAGAATAGTGAGCCTGAGCCCTGCCAGGGAA